CGAGGAAACACAGCAGGCGGCCATTTTGGAACCGCCGATCAGCTGGCCGAAAATGGGGGCTTAGCGATGATCGCTTCCCCGCGATCATCGCAAAGCGATTTTTCCCTATAGGGGCCATCGCTAAGTGATCGCTCTGGCGATGGCCAAAACCCCATCGCTAAGCGATTTCATCGCTCAATGGAGCGATCGCTAAGTGAGGCACCACTGTATCACATTTGCATATATATGTGTCTCTGTGTTTCTGTGTGTGTATGCATGCGCGCGCGCGCACACACACACACACATTTTGACAACAATTCTCACCCCCAGCCAAGAGTTTTCTGGGCATATAGTACTCCAACATGGTTTATAATTCCCTCTTTCTGGGATCACTTTGGGACTGGGCAGCCTGCCCAAGGCTATAGGGGCTGCCTCTTTTCCTGGGAAGGAATTGAACTGTTGACCTCTGGCTCCGCAGCCAGATATTCCAACTCATTGACCTGTCCAGCCAGGATAAAATTGTTAATTAACGTGAAAGGAGAGCAGGGGGAACCCTCTGTGGGTTCAACCAAAAGATAGGCAGGGAGGTCTACTACTGTTCAATTGCTGAACAAACACAGACCGCTAAGCTGGCCCATATTGAATCCAGTTCTTTCTAGCCAGCACTGAAGAGCTTCTGTAGTCTTATGAGAAACAATGATGTGACTTTTATAGGGTGTGTGTGATATTTTGCTCCTGACCTTAAAGGAATCTTAGGTGAATGGCTCCCTCCGACTTGTAGTTTAATCAACGAAGACAGCGGTCCCCAACCTTTTTGAGATTGCGGACCGGCTGAGCCTCTGAGGAAGTGGGGCACTCTTCTCGCATGCGCGCACAGGCGTATGTGCGAAGTGGTGGGGAGCGTGCGTGCTAGCGCTGGTGTGAGTGTTCCCCCACCTCTTCGTGTATGCACAGGAGCACCTGCACGCCCTTGCGCACGCCCACTCGGGCGCATGCATGAAGGGGTGGAGGAGCACTCACACCGGTGCTGGCACGTGTGTGTGTACAAATCTGTTGTGGGGAGGGGAGTGAGTGCAGGGGGGGAGGTCTGTCTCACAGCCCGGTTCAGCTCAGGCCACGGACCGCCACCGGGCTGCAGACTGGGGGTTGACGTCCTCTGAACTAAGAGGTACTGTACTGTACAGTACTTAGTTCTGTGAGGCCTGGGTAGAGACACGTAACTGGGGCTGTTCCATTTTTAAAAAGTAGCTCTTGGGAGGACAGTATCAAGTCTCTCCTTTCCCCAGTTGAAATCATCTGAAGCCCTTTGGTGAGTATCTCCCCCACTCTGTGGAGTAAATGGGTATAATTAGTAGTTTGAGGGCATTTTGTTTTAGGAAAACAGAGTGGGTACTGAAGCATTGCCAAAATGGGGGATAGGGAAGATGGAAATCACAAAAAGGACAGCCCAATTCCTTCAAAATAACTTATGCTCATTTAAGTTAATATATACATATAATATATGTCATAAATGTCAAACTTTAAATAGAATTCCAGTGAACAGCTATCATAGAGCAGAAAACTGAACTGATGTCTGTATTGAGAGAAGAGTCGGATATAAATTAAATCAATAAACCAAAGTGCTTAATAACCCCTTAATGTGTTTCTGTACTTCATTAAATATGAATATACAGTACTTTGACAATAATATGCACTTCATTTTTATTATTATTATTTCATTGAAATAGATTTGTTCAGAATTAAGCCATAAAGACCCACCCTTACCCTCTCAGAATTGCTTCTTATTGACAAATATTTTTAAGTTCAGTTCAACTCTGTGTTTTATGCCATGAAATCAGAACCAATTTATAACAACTCTAATAGGGCTTTCAAGATGAGTGAGGTGTTTTTTAAAAAAGATTTTACCAATTCCACCCTCCCCTATTGAGCTTCCATGGCCAAGCAAGGATTTCAACCCAGGTCTTCTTAGTCCCGTTCTGTCACTATACGCACTCCTACCCCACAGGGTACAATTCAGTTCGCTGAATAGTGTCCCTTAAATGCATAGCAAAACAGATTAAACAATCTGAAATAAATAAGACAGATCAATGATTTATAATTTAAAAGCCCTGATCGCACTAGAAGATGGCCAAAGTTTACCTGCCGCCTATTTAAGAAGCTAAATGCTACTGCCGCCACCAAGCTTTTCCTTTTCCTTACTAAGCCTTCCCATATGTTGAATGACTTTTTAAAAAAAATCCCCCAACTCCTGTAGTGACTCCTGTCCCCGTAGTGTGTGTGCCACAAGAGAAAGAAGTGAAGTGCAAAGCAGTCCACAAATCAAGAACTGCAGCCTGCAACACTATGACTCTCCTATTCATGAATACTAGAGACTGCAGTTGAACATTAAGAAGACAAAATACACAACTTCAGTACTGAAAATGAAAACATTGAGAAAATGAAGAAATTGAGAAGTTAAGATTTTGTATACAGTACCTCCCCCTAAACACAAATATTAGTTGCTTCGATTGTGTTTTTACAGTAAGTCAAGACCATAGATCTACCCTCTCTAGTATTCATTTATTTATTTGGTTACAGATTCTGGCCCTATATCCATATTGTGGTCAGTGATCTGGGGTTTCTAGGTGGGTGAGGGGTCCTAATAACAATCTGCAGAGCTGGAAGAGACTCTTATGGATCATCCGAGTCCAGACCCTGTCAAGGAGGCATCCTAGGTGATCGAATTCCCAACCTTTGACTCTGCAGCCAGATGCCTAAACCACTGAACCATCCAGTGCTGGAAGCTCTAAGGCAGTGGTCCCCAACCTTGGGCCATCTAGTGCCGAAATCCTGGCCAGCAGAGGTGGTGGTGAAGGTTTCTGGGAGTTGTAGTACAAGAACATCTGGAGGCCCAAGGTTGGGGACCACTGCTCTAAGGGACTGAGGCCTGATTTCACATACTGTATATGATTACATTTAGTAAAGTTATAGTTGGGTTACATTTATATACCACATTTTCCGTGTATAAAATGACACTTTTACGTAAAATCATTAGAGGAAAAATTGAGGGTCGTCTTACATATGGAGAGCATCAGGCTGCCGCCACCGCCCGATTGCCTCCTCCAGCGCCACTGCCGGGGCTCACCTCCAGCTCACGTCACCGCCTTGTCCCTTGCCCGAAGGGAGCCCGCGAGTGGCACTGGAGGATGTGATCAGGCGGCGGAAGCAGCAGTCAATGGACAGCTGTGAGGGGCGGCCGAGTGCAGTTGCTCCTTTGCCTCCGGCTCCGGTAAGTGTCAAAATTGGGGGTCGTCTTATACATTGGGGGTCTTATACACAGGAAAATACGGTACTTAAAATAATTGTGTTACATGCTGTATTGCAGCTTTTCCCAGCTGTTTTGGGTGTCTCCAGGTGTTTTGGGGCCCCAACCATCTTGACTAATGAGAAGGGATGATTCGTAGTCCAATACATGTGGAAAGGACCAGGTTGAAAGAGATTATCTCATTATTTTATATTTTTGTGTGTGTATGTGTTCAAAAGTATTTGAACTAAAATATTTAATGGGGAGAGTCACTTAATCTCACTCAATATGCTTTCAATTTTTTGTTCAGAATGGAGCTTATACATATGGGTTGTTTGGGGAACATAGGTTTACCTGAAATGAATGCAACAATCCTGTACCCACTTACCTGAGAGTAAACCTCATTTAATTGAATAAGAATCCCAGTTACCCTCCGTGCAGTATTTTGGAGCAAAAGGGTCCATACTGCTCATTGGACCCTTGCTCTCCCCTATTTCTCTTACTAGGAAAAAAAATTGAGAGTGTAGTGAAGTGGATCTGTAATTGGTCTACTCAGAATTGAATAAGTCCCATTCAATTAAATGATGTTTGCTTCTGGATAAGAAGGAGCTTTCCACTTTTCTTAGCCACCTTTGCCATTCCATCATCACCTATATTCTTTTCTCTTCCTCCCCCTGCAAAACCATGTAGCAGGCAGATTGCTTGTCTGCAGGAAATTTTTAAGGGAGGGTTGATAGAAATCAATCTCCCTTCATCTTGTGCAGAGATTGGTGGATTTTATAGAGCCACAGTTGGGTTCCACAGCTTAGATTTAGCTTTGAAAGGGAGATAAGGGCATTTTCCCTTTGGAGAAGAAAAGAATGAATTGGAGGTAGTGATTATCACATGCAGTACTTTCTCCAAAGAGCATGCCGAATAAATGCCCTAATAACATTAATTTGATTCTTAATACTTAACTTCAATTTGTTCTCTCTCTTTTTTAACCTAACATTTCTGGGCTTAGGTGAGGGAGAGTGCACCCTTGTGTTTCCTGCTGCTCACGTACAGTATATGTATCTGGAGTAGCTCAGCTTGTAATGAAACAGACTGTGATTCCCAAGGTGTGGTCTTCAAGGCAGATCACGCAGCGCCTTCCTGGTTCAGTGGGCTGACAGGACTAAGAGTGCTGACCCTCGTTCAGCCTTGCCGTCGCTTTCCCCTCTGCTGCCTGTCCTGCTGAAGTCACAAGGTTAATGGAAGATGGCATTCTTTGCAAATCCTGGCCATTCATGCCTTCTGGGCTCTACAAGGGAACACGAGGATGCTCTGGATTTCACCCTTGGCCAGCTCTCTGGAGTTGCCAGAAGCCCGCCTGGAAGTTTTGGCATGCCTCCCTCTGTTCTGTCCCCAGAGGATCATGTCTC